GAGCTTTCAGCACGCTCAGCTGCCGGGTTGTAATTACCATTAGAGAATTGCTGGGAATGCTAATTAACTCCCACATAACGATCAGCCGTTAAAGGCAGAAAGGTATCATTATCTGGGGCTGAATGCTCTAGCCACGGCACGGCCCCCCGGGGCTGGGGGAGGGTAAGGACTAGCTCCAAGGGATGGATTTCCCTCTGCAACGCCCCCTCCAGCCACAGGCAGCTCCCCGCCCTGCAGGTGGAGATTCCTGCTCCCTCTCCCGCTACGTTGTCTTGTCTTGGCTCCCGGAGGCTCACACCACCCGGGGGCCCTGAGGGTTGGGTTCCCCTCACAGCAATCTGGTGGGCGGCTGGAAGGGTGCGCGGTGATGGAATGGTGTCAGCGGTGGGATACTTGCTCCAGATTCAGGGCCAAGGTGACAGCTTTGGAACTGGAGCTGGAGAGTTCGAATTCCATGTGCCCCCGCCCTGCCCCAGGTGCGTCTGTGCCCCACAGCACGTGGCTCTGTGAGGCGGCCACAGGGTTTTGCGCGGCGGCGTCCATTCCCACCACTAACCCCCGTTCTCCAGCAGCTTCCCCCGGTAGATCTTGTCCTCCACCACGTCCGTCCAGTAGAGGGAGCTCTGGTTGAGGTGGAAGTCGAGGGCGATGGTGTTGCGCAAGCCGGGCACCAGGACGCTGTAGTCGCCCTTCTGCAGGTCGATGCGCCGGATCTCGTGGCGGTTGGAGAAGATGATGAAGGGCTTGAAGGGGTCTGCGAGCAAAAGGGGCGTCAAGGGGAGGTTGGGGCCAGCCGGGCTGCAGGCAGAGCCGCACTGCCAGGAAGGGGCATGTGCCCAGTTATAACACAGGAGCAACGGGCACCGGTTTCCCCCCGGCGTCCCTGCGGTGCACACAGGAGCACTCACGCGCTCCCTCCAGTTGGGCTGTTACTCCGGATGCTGAGGGAACCAGGTTCAGCCCCTGACCTGCCCGCCCGTGCCAATCGCCCCCTGGAATGCCGGGGGCCTGGCGGTGCTGCTCCCCGGGCTCCAGCCCCCCCGGCTGCCCGCTCACCCAGGCTTCGGCAGCTCTCGCCGTCGGGCTCCAGCATCCAGCCCTCGTAGCAGGAGCACTTGACATTGTACTTGTCCTGCTCGCACTTCTGGCTGCACTTGAGGTGCTTGGCGCAGTAGCTTTGGATCTGGCAGGTCCGGTTGTCGGCGCCCAGCTCCATGCCCAGCGGGCAGGAGCAGACGATGCCCTCGCCCGGGGCCACCGTGCAGTTGTGGCTGCAGCCGCCGTTGTTCAGAGAGCACTGGTCTGCGGGGAGAGAGCGTGGCCAGGGTCACCCCGGCGGCAGGGGCCCCTCGGCGAGAGAACCCAGGAGTCCTGGCTCCCCGCCCGCTCTAACCACTCGACCCCGCCCCGAGTCAGGAATAGAACCCAGGAGTCCTGACGCCCCCGCGGCTCACCACACAGCTCGCCCTCGTCGGAGCCGTCGCCGCAGTCGTCGGTGCCGTCGCACAGCTTGTCGGGCGGCAGGCAGACGGAGGTGGTGTTGGCGCAGGTGTGGGAGGGCGGCTTGCACACCAGCGACTCGCAGTTCTCCTCGTCCGAGTTGTCCTCGCAGTCGCTGTCTCCGTCGCACACCCAGGCCTTGCTGATGCAGCGGGCTGGGGGCGGGAGGGGAGAAGGGGCGGCGTGAGACATAGTGGGGGGGACGGGGACGCGAGGGGCCCGCCCTTGCTCTGTCCCCTCCCCCAAGGCCCCGCTCTTGCGCCGCCTCTTCCCGTCCCCACCCCTGGGGCGGAGGGGTGTGCCGCCAAACAGCTGATTGGAGGCACCACCAAACAGCAGTGGCTGGTGGGTGCTAAGCATGGGTGCCCCAGCCCTGGACCCGCCTCCCCAGGGAGCTGTCGTCAGAGGTGGGGGCCACTTGAATCTAGGATTCATCTCCCCAAATTACAGTCACAACAGCACAGCTGTGGGGGGACATTCCGGCTCTTACTGCGAGTTACTAAATGCATTAAATTCATGTCAATAATTGTTGATATTTACTAATTATTATTCATTTTAATTACTGCTTAATTTAGCATCATAATTTTTGTTCTTGACTTTTCCTCTTTGATGAGTTTCATTTTGTGCTGTTTCTGATTTTAACACTTGGCTGTTAACTGGTTTCCCCTCCCAGTTTTTCCCTTTCTTTCTTTTTCATCCTTGGCACTTGCTTAGGGTGACCAGACAGCAAGTGTGAAAAATCGGGAGAGGGGTGGGGGGTAATAGACAGCAATATAAGACAAAGCCCCAAATATCAGGACTGTCCCTATAAAATCAGGACATCTGGTCACCCTAGCACTTGTTTCCTTGCGAACGACCTGTCATTTCTTTTTTTGGCCCCAACTGGGAAGTTTGAATGTTTTCAACCAGTCGTTCGGTTTGGACAGTTTCCGGGAAGGGATGGAGGTTGAATTTTGAAAACTGGGGGAAGGAAAATGTTCAAAGTTTGAACTGTTTTTGACAGGGAGGGGAACCGAAAATGTTTGAATTCTGAAAGTTTGGGGGGAGGAAAAAGGAGAAATTGGAAACAAAAATGAATAAAGGAAAATGTTTCAATTTGGGATGGAGAGTTTAAAACATCTCCCGCCCTCTGGCTAAGCCGACCAATGAAGAACGGGAAGGCGATGAGGCCCCCCCCCCCGCCAAAAAAACTCTGGGGAAAAAAAACATTTCAAAAATGAGACAGAAAAACAGTTTCCATCCAAATTTGTCGGAAGATGGAAAATTTCAAGGAAATCAAAGTGGGGGGAGGGAGGAGGTTAAAAATATCACGTTCAAAAACCAACCAGGCCAAATGTCCTCACAATCGGTATTTTAAAGAGACGTTTCAAGCAGCTCCGTTCTCAGGGGCGTGAGCCCAGGGATGCCAGACCCGGGTGCCATGGGGATCCAAAGGGAGGCTGGTGAAAGGCCCCTTGCCCTCCTCCCACGTCTGGATCTAGCGTCCCCTCTCCCGCCCCACCCCCCAGGCTGGATCGAGGCCCCCCCCGGGCCCGTTACCCGAGTCCTTGCAGCCGAACTTGACGTTGGGGTCGCAGACGTGGGTGACGCCCTCACAGCTCTTCTCGTCACTGGAGTCCATGCAGTCCGTGTCGCCGTCGCAGCGCCAGCGCATGGGGATGCACAGCCCGTCCAGCCGGCACTGGAATTCGTCCGTGTGGCAGCCCCCGGGCGGGCGGGTGGCTGGGAACGGAGCCCACGCGACAGAGCATCACCGGCTGCGCCCCACGGCGGGACCCGGCGCAGGTGGCGAGGGGGCTTTGGGTGCCCGGGGGGCAGGCAGGACCCGACGCCTGGGGGTGGGGGGCACGGGAGTGGGATTGGGCACCCAGGGCAATACCCGGGGGGGGCAACAGGGGAGCCTGGAATCCAGTGCTGGGGGTGGGGGGGCGGTGGGATCCAGGATCTGACACCTGGCCAGGGGGAAGACCAGGATCCAATGATGGGGGGCACCCAGGATCTGATGCCTGGGGTCCAGCCCCCCAAGGGGAGGGGGGGCTCTGGGAGCAGACACCCAAGGAGATGTGGCACCCAGGGTGCAGGTTCTGGGGTAGGGAGGGATCTGACTCCGGGGGCGCCCTAAGCATGAAAGCCCTCCCCCACCCCTTCCCCCGGGCGAGGCTGGTGCTCGTGGGGGGGAGCCAGGCAGGACTCCAGGAGGTGGGGGCTCACCCTGGTTGGTGCAGTTGGCGTGGGTCTCATCGCTGTAATCCCCGCAGTCGTTGTCACCGTCGCAGGTCCAGTGCACGGGGATGCAGCGCCCGCTGTTGCACTTGAACTGGTTGCTGGAGCAGGAGTGGCTGCAGCCGGCCTCGTCGCTGTTGTCCCCGCAGTCGTTGTCTGGGCGGGGCAGGCGGGGGGGCAAGAAGAGGGACGTCAGCGGGCAGCCAGCAGGCACAGAGAGCTGGGCAGCGTGGCCCAGTGTCCCTGGGGGTGGGGGGAACACCCCCCAGCAGAGCAGAGCTGGGAGCTGCCAGGGGATCCACCTGCGCCAGCTTCATTGACAGCATGGTGGGGGGGGCCGAGCGAGACGGGCCCCCCGCATTGGCCCCTTCCACAGCACCTCCCCCCAAGCCCCCGCCCCCCCTCCAGCCCGACATGCTCGCTAACGTCACAGCCACAAAAAGAAAACGAAGCACAGAAACTGCATAGATCACCTCATGTACCATGGGGGGCAGCGGGAGGAGCTCCGCCGCCCAGCGGGGGGGCGGGATGGGGGGAAGGTGGCACGTCCGCGGACCCCTTTGCAATGAGTGTCCACGGGAAGTTTGAATGGATCCAGCCAATTCCCGAGCGCTGCCACTTTAAGGAGAGGCTCGTCCGGTTCCGTCCCGAACGGAGCTTCAAAACCGCGGGCTCTCACACCGCTTCGGAGGTTAAAACGCTCTGCCAGGAGCCTGGCACGGAGTCACCTTCACACTGGCAAACTGGCCCCGCCGCGGCCCCGCTCGGTGACTCAGTTTCCCCTCCCACCTTTCGCTACTCAGACTGGGTATCTCTCCCTCTCTGTCCGTGCACTACCTAAACACACCTAAGACACAGCACGTCCCTCCCCCATTTCATCGCACGCCGGCACTGCTGTTGGCATCTCTCGTGCACAGGGACGGCCCAACTCCCACCCGGAAGGGAAGGCCCAGTTGATGCACAGTTCCGGCGTCGACTGAACAAAACAGTTTATAAACCATCCAGCGCCACTGGGCAAGCCCCTAGTGAGCACATGCTGGATCTGGGCTAAGACAGTGGCCGGAGAAAGGAGGGTGCAGTGGTTAGGCACCAACCTGCAGCTCACGAGATGCGAGTTCAAATCCCCACTCCACCGCAGGCTCCCTGTGTGACCTGGAGCCAGCCACTTAGCTGCTCCCTGACTCAGTTTCCCAGCTGCCATGGGGATAAGTACATGGCCCTGCCTCGCAGGGGGGTGGTCTCGGATATGAGACAGCGAGTGGCTCAGATATTACTGTCATGGGGACTGTACGGGCTCGTCTACGCTAGAAAATTAGATCAACCCAGCTCCATGGCCCAGGGGGGTGAAAAATCCCCATCCCTGGGAAGGTAGTTAAGTCGCCATGTAGACAGAGCGAGGTCCCGGCCCCTCGGGGAGGTGGAGAACCTCTCCTGCGCTGCAGCGGGTCACCTGTAAACAAGCCCTCTGATTCCCTGAGCTGAACTGATTTAAATAGCATTTAAAGTGGTGCAAAAAACCCAACAACAACCCTCTCCGTGTAGACAGCCCTCAGCCTTTGGTGGATCACAGCCATCATCCTTCACTGGCTTTAAGTCTTTCTCTGTTTCGGTGTCTTTCTGCCTGTCACATCCATTTGGAAGGAAACTGACACCTCTCCCCTCAAAACCATTTCCAGCCGAATTCCCTTTTCCCCTAATGCAAAGCGAGCGGCCGATGAGATATCTCCTATTGTTCAGATAACTTCACTTCTCCCGTGTAACAAAATCTCCCTCCTCCTGCCTCCTCTGTCACCAGTTACAGATTAGAACGGGGGGGAACCCCCGATCAATCGTGTTCCGGGTTTTCCACGGCCCCAGCTTCTCATGCCATCGTTTACCACTGTGCAAAACGGGAGTGAAACGCCAGCAGGCTAATCCACCAGCAGCCCTCTAGAGGAGGGACTGGCTTGTTCTGTGGCTCCTGCTTGCCACTGCACCAGGTAATTAATAATAACCGGACACCGGCTATCCACAGACGTAAACGACAGCCCAAGAGGCAGGACGCTGGAGCAGATACGTTGCCCCTCTGATCCCTGCCAGCGTGTGGATCAGTCGGGACGACAAGGAACTGTGGCTTTTCTGGAGTTATGTGACCCCCCTCTCCAGCAAAGTGGCAGGCTTTGGGGGACGGGGGGCAGGGGGGTTCTGGTACATGTTGATCTATGCACTAACCGGTAGGTTTTGGACAGTTCTTTTCGTCAGAGCCATCCCCACAATCCTTCTCTGAAACACAGAAACCAACCAAAAAACAACAAAAGACAGGCGAGTGGGCACATTGAAGAGACAGAACAAAAACACACAGCAACAGAAAACCGCCGCCGCCGGGCAGAGCCACACTGAGCTGGACAGACGGACACGGACGACAGGGGAACGTTAAACGGCCCCGGGGGAGAGAGATCAGAAGCAGTGGATGGCGCCCGGTCCCCTCCCCACATGGCTCCCTGCAGGGGGTCTTTTGGGGGGCAGGACAAAAAGGAGCTGGCTGGGTGATGAGAAATGCCAAGGCCCTGAGCTCCAATGCCCAGAAACTGCCCCAGCGCCCTGGGCCGATGCCCGTGTGTGGTAAGCTCAGGTAACACCTGAGGGCGGCTGAGCCGGCCTTGTGGATGGGAGGCGGCTGGTTAATTACGGCCCTGGGAAAACAGTTTGTCCCGAATCAAGGGATCCCTCTGCCTGCGTCTTCACACAAAACCCCAGCAAACGCAGCCCCTGCTCCCCTGCCCCTAGCCCGTCGCCCGCTCCGGGCCTGTTCATTAAAATGAATGCTGCCGAGTCGTTATGGTGACAAATATGAACCGGGGGAAGCCCTGCGGCAAATCCCGTCTCCTGCCTCAGAACCCAAACCCGTCCCGCCATGCGCGGCTGCTCGGGAACTCGCCAGCACCAGCCGGAGGCTGCGAGGCCCCGATCCCCACATCCGCACCCAGACCCACAGCTCCCAACGGGGCGCTGCAGGGGGGCGCTCTGCCAGGCCGGCCCTATGCTGGATTCCCCTGGCCTGCTCCCCCGCCACTGGCTAAAGCATTTCTCTGCCCCCCAACCTGTCTGCGCCTCAGAGCACGGGACAAGCTGCTTCTCCCCTACAAAAGCCTGAGGTACGTATAACACCCCCCGACACGCACGCACCCACCCCCCTGCGTATACGCACCCACGCATTCACACCCTGCCATAAGCATGCACCCCCGCACGCATGCCTACACACATGCTCCCACATGTATGAACACACGTGCACCACACAGCCACTTGCACCCACACCCACATGTACACCTACACCCACACGTATGCACATGGGTGGACTGGACCAGCCACTTGCATGCACACCTACACACATGCACCCACATGTATGCACACTCGTGCACCAGTCACTTGCATGCACACCTACACACATGCACATGTGTGCACCACACAGCCACTTGCACGCACCCCCGCCTGCACACCTACAGACATGCACCCACACGTATGCATACGCGTGCACCGGACCAGCCACTTGCACGCACACATGCACACCTACACACAGGCTTCCACACGCGCGTGCACCAGACCAGCCACTTGCACGCACACCCGCACACACACCTAAACACATGCACACCTGCACTGCACACCCACGCACCCACCTGGTTCTGTACAATCCAAAAGCAAGCGCAACCCCTAAAGATCAAACCCAACCTCATTCCCAGTTTCACCTGCCAAAGCCTCGGTCTAACCACCCTCGCTGCGTCCCTTGCCCTGCATCGCAGGGAAGATCCCTGGGGCGCGGAGGACAGGGGATGTGCCCAGGGCTCGCCAGGCAGTCAGTGGCAGCGCCCGGACTGGCGCCCAGTCGGAGCTTCGACTCTATCTGAGCCCAGCGTGGGCATCCTGAGAGGGGGTCACGGGGTACCCGAGGCCTGTGCTGCAAAGCACGTCCATTTCCAACCCAAGTGAAGTCCCTACACATGGGGGCCCCGCGGGTGGATTCAGGTGCCCGGGAAGTGGGAGATCTGTGGCTGAAAGAGCACAAGGAATCCCCCAAAGCAGCCTCTGCTCCAGCAGGGGCACCTCCCTGCTTCTGATCTCCCCGTGGCCGCGTGGCGCCGCGTCACGCCCCCGGGCGTGGGGAGCTCACTCACCATTGTCACATCGCCAGTTGATGTTTATGCAGCGCCCGTTGTTGCAGGTGAACTGGGTCAAGGGGAAGCAGGTGGGGTAAGCTGCGGGGAAGAAGGGAACGGGCCCCGTCAGTGCCGGGCCGGATCAGCCCCAGACGCTGGGGAAGGTGGACCACAGATCATGGTGAAATAACTGGCCCAGCGTGGAGGGGCCTTTCTAGCCCCAGCAGCCAGGGGGCGGCTCATGAGGCCCCGGGTCCACTTACACCCCACCACCCGTCGCCAGATCTGCTCCCACCTCCAGCAATGCAGCTAGAACGGCTGCGTCCCTCCCTGCCCCTGCTGCAGACCCCAGGACGCCTGCTGAAACTGACGGACGAGCAGCTGCACTGGGACCAGAGCCCTGTTATTCCCTCCTGCCCCCCCAAGCCAGCCAGTCCCCCGCCCTGGGGCCGGGTCGGAGCTGGCGCACCCTAGCGAGGAAAGGCCCCATCCCCCCACTCACCGCAGGAGGAGGACTCATCCGAACGGTCCCCGCAGTCGTCGTCCAGGTCGCAGGTCCAGGAGATGGGGATGCAGCGGCCGCTGGCGCAGGAGAACTGGTTGGGGGGGCAGGTCCGGGCTGGGCATGGGGCAAGACAGACACAGGGCGTTTCAGTGACCCTGGCGGCCACGGGGGCAAATCCGCGGGGGCCGGGGGAGGAGCTGAGGCTGCAGTGAGCCTGCAAACGAGGTCAGGCCCTGAGCACGGCTTGCACGTGGCCGTGCAGGACACAAAGGGTTAAGCGCCCGGGCGGGCTGCGGCCCAGCTCGGAGGCCCAGCACCCTGCAAGGCTGCGTCCGCGGGGCGCTGGCTCTCCAGCCCTGGGCTCCGAGCCGCCCCGGGGACACGGGGGTGGCCGGACACACGGGCTCCTCACCAGAGCAGGTGGAGTTGGATTCGTCCTCGTTGTTGCCGCAGTCGTT